TATATATATATAGTCCTGGTGTGGTGCTGTGGGTTAATGCACTGGATGGTTTGAACCACAAAGTCCTCAGTTCAAGTTCACTTACTACTCCTTGGAAACCCTATACAGTGTTGCTATGAGTCATTATGATTGTTGTTGTTAAGTGTCTTTGAGCCAGTTCTAACTCTTAGTGACTCTGCATAGGCTTTTGAGGAGTGGCTGGTGAGCTTGAACCACAGACCTTGCAGATTAAAATGACTTTAAAGTCCAGGGCATTAACCCATAGCACCACACCAGGTTTCTCACTCTCTCTCTCCCCCCACCCCACCCCGCCTATTTCTCCGCTTTTAAAATGGGAATATTAATATCTACCCTCACTAACTAAGAATGGTGCTTCACTGAAATAAAATTCTACTTAAATAGAAGTAAATATTGTTAAATCTTACCCAATCTTCATCTTTATCATTGTTGCTCTAAGACAAAGCATGATAATTTAAAATTCTTATCTACCTCAAGTATTTCTCCATAAACCCATTGGTCATATATTTCCTAGTGACTTTTTAAACTGTCATTCTGACTCTTACAATCCTTTCAATATTTTCCCATCACCAACAGAATGAAGTTGCTCCTTTATGACTTGAATCCTGTGTATTTCTCTGGGTCATCACAAATGTTATCATTTTCTGCTGTATATGTTGTTTCAGTAATTCTGAATCTGCTTGAAGCTCTAGCCTTATATCTTATCACTGTGTGTATTTATCCCCTTGTTCTTATCAACTTATCTGACTGGATTACTTGATATTCTCTCTTACATACTGAATGAGTTTCTATACACTCTTCAAAATTGATTCCAGATTGTACTATTTTTAGAAAGTATTACCTGATCTTTTAGAGTAGAATTAGTTACCTGTTTTTCTGCATATTATGTGAAAACCTTTAAAGCTTCTATCATTGCACCACCATAAGTGTTTACATTTATAATTATCTTTCTGTTCTTTCAACTGATGTGTGAATACTTGAAATCCTAAACCTCTTTTTTCTCTAAATAGAGTTAATATTTGTTATGAATTATTTTTGATTGTATAATATGATTTTCATATCTGTTCATGGTTGACTCAATTAAAAAGATTGTAATAAATTACTTAATTTCACTAAACCCTAGTTTTCTTTTTGATGTGTAATAATGCCACTTTTAAATGTAATAAGGATTACATTTAAATTCAATGATACCCAAGCGATATTAGAGTAAAAGCACGTAGAATACTGCTTAAAAGCTTACTAGTCAGCAT